GACTTTTGAGTCACACTGTATGTTTATTTGTTTGTTTAGTGTTACTGGGGATTGAACAGAGAGCTTTGCACTGAGCTACATCCCAGCCCTTTTTATTTTTTATTTGAGACAGAGTCTCACTAGGTGGCTGAATTGCCCAGGTTGGGCTCAGACTTTCCATCTCCCTGCCTGAACCCCTCTGAGTGCTGGGATTATAGGCGTGCACCAGCACACACAGCATCGTGTTTTCTTTTTCAGCTTTACCATTAATTATGTAGTGTTAGGTAACTCCCATAAGCCCTTTCCCTTCATTCCCTCATTTGTGAAATGAAGAGATAACACTAGTGCCCATATCATAGGGTTGTCGTGAGAATCCTGTATAATACTTGAAAAGCATTAGAAGACATAATTGTTGATCTTGGCTATTAGGTGATGTGACTTAACTTTTTGAGCTTTGTCCTTCTTTGTTGGTACAAATGAGGATAGCTATATTTATTTTACAAAATAAATCTTAGGAGAGTGTGGTTTTTTTGGTACCAGGGATCAAACTTGGGGCCTTGCACTTGTGAGGCAGGCAGCGGAACCACTGAGCTAAATCCCCGGCCTTACAAAATAAATCTTGATGGGAAAATTAAATGAGGCAACATACAAATTTGTCCTGCAAAGTTTATGGCACATAAAAAGTAATTAATGTTCCTTTAGTTATTTTAGTTTCTAGCTACACATAGTTCTGTGGAGGGGAAAAACAGTGAAGAACATGGAAATTTGCAAAACACATAAGTCCTGATGATCTTACGGTACAGTTTAAGAAAAATGACACCTGTGTCACCTAATCCAGTGGACCTTTCTCCTTTGACCATGGTCTTCTGTGTGATACCATTGGCCACTATCATAGCTTGACTGGTATGACATCATCTTCTTAGGTCCCAGGGGCATTGTCCTACTTCTGTGACCACTCTTTAGTTCCTTTGCCTGGAATTACTTCTTCTTGGATTTCTTTTTTTTTTTTTTCCTATTACTAGGGGTTGAACTCAGGACCTTTGCACAGAGCCATATCTCCAGTCCTTTTTTGTTTTTTATTTTGAGACAGGTTCTCTTTAAGTTACTAAGTAGCCCAGGCTGGACTTAAATCTACATTTCTCCTTCCTTAGCCTCCCAGAATGCTAGGATTGTAGGCATGCACAACCATGCCTGGCTGTCCTGGAATTTTTGTTTTGTTCTGTTTTTGGTTTTTTGAGACACAGTCTTGCTATGTAGATCAGGTTGGCCTTGAATTCACTGTGTAGCCCAGGATGGCCTCCAAGTCCTGGTGATCCTCCTGTCTCAGCCTCCCGATGCTGGGATTACAGGTGTGTGCCACCATACCCAGCTTCTCATTACTAATTTTGCATTCTCATCTGTAGTCATCACTTGACCATATTTCAAGACACTTTGACCACGAATACCAGAGAAAGAAAATGTGTCTTGATGAAGTAGTAAAGTCAGTGAGATTCTCAAATGAAAAAATGGTTGTTAAATGCGAACCTCTGTTAACACATCCTGTTGTAATCACTAAAAGTGATGATGTCTGTGAAAGCAGTTGAGTGTCAGAATGAAAAGTAATCAGTGTTCGGTCACTTGCAGAGAGCAGTTATGTTCATAAGCAGAAGCAGAGCAAACCAGGCCAATCTATCACACGTACACACGTGCGCGTAGCAAGTGAGGCTCTGGTGGGAAGCATCAGAGACAGATGATCCCTGCCAGTTTCGTTGCTGCTCTGTTCCGCCTTGTGGAGATCTGAAACATGAAGTCAGTGTTGACGACTTACTTTGCCCTTTCATTTCCTCCGTAAAGATAAACGCCAGGCTGCTTTGTCATCAGGAAGCTATTCTGGATATTATGTCCTTGGAGGAGGAGGAGTGCAGTGATTCGCATTGACTGGATCCTTGCGTGTTTTCATAGGGATGTGTTATGGAATATGAGTTGTGTATTTCTTGTTTAATCACTTAAGGCATTTGGAAATCTTTACCATTATGACCATATTGTTATTTTATTTATTTATTTATTTTTTTGAGACAGGGTGTCACTGTGGGTTTTAGCCTGGCCTTGAACTTATGGCGATCCTCCTGCCTCAGTCTCCCAAGTGCTGGCTGGGATTACAGGTGTGGACCAACAATTTAAAGATCCTGTAATATGAATATAAAATCTACATTTTTAGTTTTTGTTTCTGATTTCTAAAAATTGGCTTACCTCCACCTAATTTTATATTTTTATAGTGACTAGGCTTTTGAAAGTATACTACTTAGTGTTTATGAATATATCAGTTATTTCAGTTATATCAGTTATTTCAATCATTATTCTAAACATGAAATTATAATAAGCACAAGTGCCAGGAATAGGCTGGAGAACACAAAATGACCGATTCTCAGGATGCCACAACTTTTCTGGTGGCAGTAAAAGTGCATGGTTATTCTAGAGAACAGCTTATACCCAACTCGAGTGCTTCTTTCCTAGTCAGGAGAGTTGGAAAGCCAGCCACTCTTCACCAATGTGTGGCATCATTTTTAATGTGTATATAATATTACATGTGTCATGTATGTGCCTTAATTTATTTAATCAATTCCCTTCTGATAAATTCTCAAGTTTTTTACGTATTTTTAAATCTTTTATAAAAATACTAACATTCATACTGTTTTTTCAATTTTATTTTATTTTTTTGGTACCGGGGATCAAACTCAGGACCTCTTGCTTGCCAGGCAGGTACTGTGCCACTGAGCTACATCCCTGGGCCTTGATTTTTTCAGTTTTATGTAGGAACTTTTTTTTAGTGCTGGGTCTTTTCAAACCCAGGGCCTTATGTATGCTAGGAAAGTGTTCTACCACTGAACTACTTCTCCAGCCCTATAGAGAAATTAAATATTTGTACCTTTATCAGTCCCTGTTGAGATGATCATAATATTTTTGCCTGTCATTTTGATGTGATCTATAATGTTATCTACACTTGATCTTAGCCAAAAGGCCAAGAAGCGATTCTATAATGTTACCTAATTTGTGCATATTGAACCATCTTTGCTTCCCTGGGATAAATCCCACTTGATCAGGGTGTGTAATCTTTTGGATGTGCAGTTGAGTTCAGCTTGCTAATACTTTGTTGAGAATTTTTGCCTCTACATCCATCAGGAATACTGATGTATAGTTTTCTTTTTTGTGTGCATCCTTATTTGTCTTTGACATCAGGGTAATACTGGCCTCATAGAATGAGTTTGGAATCAGCAGCGAAGCCATCTGGTTCTGGACTTTTCTTTGTTGGACTCTTTTTAGTCATTTATTGATTCAGTATTGTTGCTCATTGTTGGTCTGTTTGTTTTATCTTCACAGTTCAGTTTTGGTTGGTTATACATGTCCGTAAATTTGTCTGTTCTTGGTTATCCAATTTGTTGTCATATAACTGTTCATCACTGTCCTACCATTAATTTTGGATGTGTTTGTATCATCTACTGAGTTCTGGTTTATGTTGAGGTCTCTTTCTGGGATGTTTATTTTGTTCCTTTGATTGGTTTGTCTCTTCATACTTGTGTTAGTTCTATATATTTTTTTTTTTATGTGCAGCATGTAGTTTAATATGTTTGTTTGCTTTTTTTTTTTTTTTTTTGGTACCTGGGATTAAACTCAGGATGTTGCACTTGCAAAGCAGGCACGGTGCCACTGAGCCAAATTCCCAGCCCTAATATGTATTTTTTAAAATATCCTCACCTAGTTCTCCCAGCCATGGCGTGAGGCAGGTGGAGGAATTGTTTTTTATGTATGTATGTATGTATGTATAGAATTTGGTTGGTTGTTTTTTTGAGACAGGGTCTCACTATGTAATTCAGGCTGACCTTGAACTCACTGTGTAGCCTAGGCTGCCATCAAACTTGAGGTGATCCTCCTGCCTCAGCCTTCTGAGTGCCGGGATTACAGGTGTGCATCACTATACCTCCTTCCCACCTCCCCGTTTAATGTGGGCATGGAGCCTGTTGTGATGGTCTCACTAAGTTGTCCGGGTTGGCCTCAAACTTAAGTTTTACTTTCTGCTTATTTGTTTTGTGTTTTTGAGACAGGGTCTCGTTATGTAGTTCAGGCTGGCCTTATACTCGCAGGGATCCTCCTAGTCTCCCAAATGCTAGGATTACAGGTATGTGCCACCATGCTCCAAGCTCCGCCAGGGCAGCTGCTCATACCGCCTACCATGGACGACCCCTTAGTTCTATATTTTTAAGAATAGATTTCAGTTTTAACTCCTGCCCAGTAATCTCAGGAAGGATTCTCAAAAAAGCAACAATTAGGTTTTCATGATAGACCTGTTTTATTTTCATGTTTTGGCCTCTTCCAGTGTAAGACCATCATGAGTCCAAGAATTTCTCTGACCCTAAATGTGGCCCTTTCCCTTGTGTGGCGTGGGTAGCTTGAGAAAAACAAGTGTGTCCTTACTGCTTCCAGTGGACACAGAAGACATTTTTTTCTGGTTTTTAATAAATAACTTTACCTTTACCAGTTTTAAGAATTACCTTCTAGGAAAAAAAAAAACGAATTACCTTCTAGGAATACCTTTTAGGAATTGGAGAGAAAGGAGTAGAAAACAGATCATTCACTCTATACTGTCTATAACACTTGCATGTTCAAAAGAACGATTAACAACAGGTGCCATGGCACAGGCCTGTGGTCCCAGCTGCTTAGGAGGCTGAGGCAGGAAGAATGCAAATTCCAAGCCTACATGGGCAGCTTAAGAAGACCCGTCTTAAAATAAAAATTTTAAAAAGGGTTAGGGATGTAACTCAGTGGTAAAGTACTTGCAAGGCCCTGGGTTCCATCCTCAGTACCACACAAAAAAATTGAGAAAATCTTTAACAGTTAATCTTTAAAAGGGTGAACGTGTGTTTATGTTGCTTTGCTGCTGAGAGCCTGTGTCGAGGCATGGAAGATTCTGCTCTTTTTCTGCCTTTGGATGTCAGCAGTAAGCTGGATTCCGTCCCCAGCAGCTCATCTTGTGTTTTCCTTTGCAGCTCTGTTGCCGGCAGGCAGATTACTGGCAGTTTGTGAAGGACATCCGCTGGCTCAGCCCCCACTCCGCCCTCCACGTGGAGAAGGTGAGCGGGAGAAGCGCTGGGTGTGAGGGTGCTGGGTCTGTGGTAGAGCCATTGCTCCGGGTCACTTTCTCTTCTCTGGGGAAGAGCCGTGTGTAGGGCACCAGAAGGAAGCTCTTGGAAAGCCAGGACCATGGCAAAAGATCCCCTGGAGCAGTAGGGGGTGTGGGACTAATGCATTGGGCACTGGTCAGAAAGAGGCTCCGAGAAGGAGTGTGAGCTTTCTGGAGGTCAGGATCAGACAGAGCCACCTGCGTCCCTGACTGCTTCAGCTGCCATCGAAGCTCCCCACCATCCTGTCACTCGCTCGAGATGAGACCTCTGGTTTCTAGCCAGAAAAACTGAGCTCAAGGAAGTTAGGTGACTTGGCTGAAGATACGCGGCTGGTTCCAGAACAATCACTGCCAGTTTTATGTTATAGAAATTTAAAAAATATATATATATATATATAGAGAGAGAGAGTATATAATGAAATTTACTCCAAAATATCTATCATTCCTCCTTCTTTTTTCTTTCTTATTTTTTTGATTTTTTGAGACAGGGTCTCACTATGCAGCCCAGGCTGGCTTTGAACTTGTGGCGATCTTCCTGCCACAGCCTCCTGAGTGCTGGGATTACAAGCCTGAGCCAGTGCCCTCTCCCCTTCTTGTCAATATATGGCTAGTCTTGTTTCATGTATACCCCCACTGGTAAGTTCATCCCTAAGGTGGCATCAGGAAAAGTAACTTGTTTCTCCAGCATTCGAGGGGGCTGAGGCAGGAGGATCACCACCTCAAGGCCAGCCTGGGCTACATAGGAAACCTTGCCAAAAAAAAGAGTGACTTTTTTCTAAATGATCAGGGACCCAAACCCCAACAGTAGAACCCATTATTTTCTGTGTCCTTCTCACTTACATTTTTTCCAATAACTCCCCTCAAACTTCTTTTTCTAAAACATATTGCTGTAGTCTTTTCCTCTTTGAAGCTGCCTGAAATCACCCTTCATGCATTCTGTTGCATTAATCCTGGCTTCCGAAACCTTGTGCTTAAAACACTCAAAGAGGGAGAGGTTTCAAGTAGAGAACACTGGGTAGGGCCAAAAAGCAGTGCTCCAGTGGCTTGGGTGGAGAGTTTTTGGTACCTTTTTCCTAAATGCTTTTCCCCTGGCTTTTGTTGCATTCTTTCCTAGAGGCTCCTGAAATAGAGGAGTCTGTGAGAAAAGCCAAGAGGCAGTTTGTCTTTCCTCTGTCCCAGAACAGTTGCCTCTTTGGAGATAGAGCATAAAGAGCCAGATGTGGCAGTTTGTCTTGGAGTTGCATGCCAGTTAACGGCTTAGCTGCTCACTGTGAAGCTATTATTCTCCTCCTTCATTCTCCAACTTCAGGATTCCCTCTCTCTTTCTCCCTTCCCCACCCCCCTTCCTATTTTTTTTTTTTGAGACAAAGTTTCCCTATGTAGTCCAAGCTGGCCTTGAACTCACAGCAGTCCTCCTGCCTCAGCCTCCAGAGTGCTGGGATTCCACACGTGCACCACCATGCCCAGCGGAACAGTACTCTGCCTGCCTCCCCTTCCCTACCTGTGGGCTCATGGGTTGCTGGGGCTCTGTCTGTGTGTTCTGACTGCGCCTCCTTATGTCCCAGTTCATCAACTTGCATGAGGATGGACAGAGCGATGTCTCAGGTGTGAGCCAGCACGCTGTCGCGGAGCTGTGGCTGCAGCACAGTTTGCAGTGTCACTGCCTCTCGGCCCAGCTGCGGCCCCTGCTGGGGGACAGGCAGTACATCCGGAAATTCTACACAGGTGGGTCCCGCTACATCTACTTCCTGCTTGTCCTCTGCAGCACCGCGCCTCTGTGGGCGCCTCCAGCCCCAGACCTCGTGTTTGTCACTTGACACCATGGAGTGTCTGCTCAGAATCACGTCCTCAGTCCACCTCTCCTTCCTTGAAAAACACACACAGACCCTTGCCTGGCCCCCTGCAGTCAGGCACACAGACCACCCCGGCATTGATTATGCTCTCCTCCCCGCTGGTGGCTGGTGCTGACGCTCACACAGCAGCCAGGCACTGGGCAACTGCGAGTCGTTTCCCGGTCGGAAGCAGTGGGCAGGGAGGGCAGCCAGGGTCCTACTTAGAAGTCTCTTCCCTTGGCCTTGTGCTCCACTGCACACACTCAGTTTCTCTGTCCCCTTCCCTCTCCTCACAGTGACCTGCATATCCGAGCTTCTTTTTACCTCTCTTCTCCCTTTCTCTTCCCCTGGGCTCCTCTCTCCCGAGGCCATGTGGGAGACAGAAGCCATCACCATGGCCGCTTCTCTGTCCCCAGACAGCGCCTTTCTGCTCAGCGACGCGCACGTGACAGCCATGCTGCAGTGCCTGGAAGCCGTGGAGCAGAACAACCCCCGCCTGCTGGCTCAGATCGACGCATCCATGGTGAGGGGCTGAGTTAGCTGCTTGGGCGTCCCTCAGTAGCGAGTGCCTGATGTGGCTGAGAGGTGCTAAAAAGTGCTTGTGAAGGGCAGGCACCATTGTGTACTCACTGAAGTGCAAAGTCTATGGAAACAGGGCAGGCTGTGTTTAAACCCTTGGGACCCTTGGTCTGAGTAAGGACCTCCTTTTAAGGACAGGCTTGACAGAGAGCTGGCCAGGAGAGGGATCCTTCTGGCCGTGTATGGTAGTGCAAGCCTATACTCTCAGGCAGGAAGATTGCCAAGAGTTTGAGGCCAGCCTGGACTACATAGTGAGGCCCTGTCTCAAAAAAACAAAACAAAACAAAAACAGAGAGAGATAGAAGACAGACAGACAGAGACCTGAATCTGAGCAGGCTTTACCTTGTATGGTTTAGTGGTACATGGGGCTAATTTTGTTAACTATAATTAACACACCTCATTACCAATAGCTAGAGCAGAGGCAGAGTCCTTACTCCTTTTAGGGCAGAGTGTCCTCATCTCTCCTGGTAATTTAAGTTTGATTGTCAGTTGCCATCCACTGAATATTCTGCACGCCAGGCAGGATGCCCTGTATAGAACACACATCTTCCCATTTCATCCTCACATCTCCTGAAGGTAGGCATTCATCTCTTTAGAAAGGAAGCCCCTAAGGCAGAGTAGGCTAGTCACTTGTCCAAAGTTGGGACCAAATAGCTTCTGAGTGACCAGAGATGGGACAGAACCCTGTCCTATCTGACCTTTGACTCCACAGGGGAGGCTTAAGTGCTTCTGGTGCTGTCTCCACTCAGCGCCCAGAAGGAGCCTAGTACAGAACTGCAGGTGCCTAGAACTCAGTTTCCTAGTTGTCGCCCAGCAGAGGCTGGTGTGCCATGTCCAGGCTCTGGCTGTTGTCCACACTGCCTCGAGGGCCAGGTCAGACAGCACTTCTGCAGGGCCAGCCCCTCCCCAGACCTCTGTCCTCAAGTCCCACGTGTTTTATTTTCTTTTAGTTTGCCAGAAAGCATGAGAGCCCGCTGCTGGTGACGAAAAGCCAGAGCCTGACAGCTCTGCCTGGTTCCACACACATCCCACGGACCAGCTGTGCTCAGCATTCCTACTTCGGGGCCTCCTCCGGCCTGCACCAGTCCATGGCCAACCACGGCTCAGGTACGGGGACACAGGGGTGGCTGATACATGATCTCCAGGCCTGGAAAAGAGGTGACTCTGAGTGCTCACAGCCTGATGTTCACTCTGTCAATCTTCAGGTCTCAACAGCAGACTCCTTAAAAAGGTACAGGGAAGCCAGCCTAAGATAATTCAGTAGAAGCATTAAGGTAGCAGGAAAGAGGTGTTTTTAGGACTTGGATTTCTATTTCATATTGCAAAGAAGGCACTGAAATAATAGCTGACACTTATTGAGTGCCTAAAACATGCTGGATTCTGTTGTAATCAGTGTATACATATCATCAAGCCAGGCTTGGTGGTGCATGCCTGTAATCCCAGCACTCAGGAGGCTGAGGCAGGAGGATTGCCACAAGTTTGAGGCCAGCCTGGGCTACATAGTGAGTTTGAGTTCAAGGCCAACTTGAACGAGTGAGACCTTGTCTCCAAAAAAAAACCACCAACATATATATGTACATAAATATATATGTGTGTATAAATATATGTATATAAAATGTGTTTTATATATATATAACTACCTCATTTGATCCTGCAAACAGTCCTTTGAGATGTTATTATTATTAGTGCTCTTTGTACAGATGAAGAATGCGTGCTATCAGGTACTAGAGCCACTGTCTGAAGAGCCTGTGCTCTTGACTTAGCTCCGTCTAAGTAACTTTAATTGATTCAGCTTTTCTGAGGTGACACCCTGTGTCCTGGTCGCCCAGTGACAGTAGGGAGTTTGTCCTTGATAATGGAGAAGCCTTCACGTAAGCCGCAGGGCCCCCACTTACCTTTCTTACCCCTTCCCCTTCCTCTTTCCTATCTAGAGAGAAGAACCACTTCCTTTACAGTCTGTGGCCCTCCCCAGAGACCCCAGGAAGTCCAAGGGCACCTGGCCCCAGCAGAAGAGCAAACCACCTACATCCCCCAGCTTTCAGACTCGGCACCAGCCTCAGCGCCCCTGTCGACCCCACAAGAGATGAGCTCCAGGGCCGCAACCAGCCCGCTGGAGGTATCATGGGCCAGTAGCCAGAGTGACTCACCGAGTGATGGCAGTGAGGGGCCCGAGTACCTGGCCATCGGCAGCCTGGACCCCCGAGGCCAGCCTGGCAGCTGTCAGAGCCCCAGCAGCAATGGCGGGAGCAGCAGCTTGAAGCTGTTCTCCTCCGTCAGCTCCCAGAAGCCAGGCTCTGCCACGTCTTCTTTAGGGGAAGAAGAGGGCAGCAGGCAGAGCCAGCTGCCCAGTGTCCCCCGAAGGTCCAGCTTCTCAGAGGGGCAGACGCTCCCTGTCACTGGAGTGACAAAGAAGAGCCACATCCGCTCCCACTCGGACACCAACATTGCCACCAGAGGAGCCCCAGGTCAGGATGAGCAGCTGCCACCAATCAGCAAGAGCACCGGCATTGAGGGTGGGAGGAAGGTTTGTCCCTGAGGCCTTGCAGATGGCAGGGGCGCGATTTGTGTTTCTGATGGTGGACATTGTGCTTCATAAGGAGCCGGAGAGGTTCGTGATGTAATACTCACACTCAAGAATCTCTGCCGTGTCTATGTTTGTCCCTTTCCATAGTTCCGAGCGCCAAGTGCTTCTGGGATTCCTTCAGTAGTTCCTTAGCCTCCGAGCACAGCGGGCCTCATCACAGCTCAAGTTTTCAATGTCTCTCTCAGGCTGAGGGAAAGTGTTAAAGAGCTTTAAAAATAATCCTGTTAAATTCCTCCCCTTCCTGTGATTTCTTGAGAGATTTGGTCAGGATATAATATCAGCACCAAGTGATATTAGGGCTCCCTGATTAAACTTGGGGATGTAGTGAATGTAGGGTAATGGGACCCTGTGAGCAAAGAGGTGGGGTCGCCAGCTGTGTCACTAATTCAGGCTGAGGCAGTCAGGTGAGGAGGCCCTGGCCCTGGGCTCACGTCCGGAAATGCGAGAGGATAGGAGAGCTCGACCTGAAGAGGCCAGGGGGTCTCACTGCTTTGGCCATGTCCCCGCCGTCATCATTCCTGGGTTGTTGGAATCTAGCAGGCTTTGGCTGGGTTTCATTTGTAGCAGTCTCTGTAACAGGAAGTAGCCATTCTGGATCAAGAACCCCCCAGAAATAAAATATTAAAATACAATATAAAACATTTAATAAGACAAAAAAGAATTTCTTTTAGGAACGGAGCTGCTGCTGCTCTCTCTACTATTGTAGAAAGATGAAAACTAAGGGCCTCATTTGAAATCTGTGAATGACAAATTTGTATTCCTATTTTCCCTCAAGAATTGGACTTATGGGAACTCTTCAGGAGAAAACCCCCTAACCAAAACCTGTCTCCCTGTGAGCTTCCTCAGGTGTGAGGACGCTTGGGTCAGATCTTCCCGGCCCACCAACTGCAGGCCTGGTTCTACCGCACTCCAGGTCCCTGGCCTTTGCCTGTGGGAAACTTCCCTGCTCCTGCCCTGAGTCCATGTAGATTCCAGACAACTCGGTAACCTGCATGGGAAGCAGAGCCAGGGAAAACCTATCCAGAAGGGTCTGAGGGAGTAGGGCCATGCATAGCTTTCTGTGTTGAGTTCTCTCTCCTGCTGAACTGGGGTTTCTTCTTGCAGTTTGTCCCCCTCTACCCGGTAAAAGGACACTTTTTCTCTTTCTCTCCCTCTAACCTTGTCTGCTTTGTCTGGACTCTCCTCTGTACCTGTCTGCCTGCAGGATGCCCCAGGAATATCACCATTATAGTTGAAGATCCCATTGCAGGTTTGGGAGCCAGCCCTCTACTCTTTTTCCTCTGTGACAACCTTGCTCAGTTTAAAACCTCCTTTTCCAGTCTGGTGTCAAATCAAGCCTGCCATTCTGGTCCTGCTGTGGTATTGGAGCCCGTCTATAAAATGGCACCAATATTTCACATGTCTCCCCTAGCTTCCAAATGCCTCCTTCAGTTCTCCCAGCATCCTCTGGGAGGCAGAGCAGGATTTAAGAATTCAGTTTTGCCAAAGGTAAAACAGACCTGCTATTTGTCTAAGGCTCATGATGGCTCTGTGGCAGAATATTTCTTATAATAGAACACTTACTACTGATGAGTTACCATTCCTTGACTTAACACCAGAATGTGTTTCATGCCTCTTTGTGGCCTTGTATATACCTGCATGTGTTTTTTGCCTGTCCAAGAGTCCCTGGTTGCTTTCTGTCACCTGTCTTTGTCCCTGTGTGAATCCTCTATACCCCCACCCCCGACCATTGCACATTTTCACAGTGACCTCTGTCTGTTTGCTTTTGTTTCCATGGTGATGTGTGTTTGTTCTGGGTACTGTGATTCATGGAGATGGTAACCCTGCAGGTCTGCAAGGCAGTGGCAAGGGGAAGACTGGAAACCAGGGTCTCCTGGTAATGGGGAAACCCTGAGTGCATTAGCTTGGAAAAGAGAAGGTGCAGGATGAACAAAGTCTGCAGAAACAGCCTTTATCAGAGAGTGTTTGTTCTTATGGAGATAAGAAATGATAAGGTGTTGGGGTTTGCGTTATGAGCCAGGTTTGACTGGAAATCTCAAAAGTGCTTTCTGAAACGTGGTGTCTTACCAAGATGTCACAGTATCAGCTAGTTTGTGCTCAGTTCAGTAGTGAGGAGCAGAGCTCACTCCCAGGACCAGCAGAAGATGGAAGAAGAACATGAATTGTCCCTTACCCTTTCTTTTAATTTTTTTGGTATGGGGGATCGAACTCAGGACCTTGCGCATGCCACTGAACTAAATCCCCAGCCCACATAGTAGCTTTTCTTGAAAGAGGAGGAGGTGACAGGAAATGGTTGGATGTGACTCAGTCGTCTCTTCTCCAGAGCATCCTGTAATTTCTTCAGCACCCCCTGCTCTCCACCTGCTCTTCCTTGGCACTGGAAATTGTGTTTTCTTTTTTTTTTTTTTTCGGTACCAGGGATCAAACTCAGGTCCTTGCACCTGCTAGGACCTGGAAATTGTGTTTTCTTTTGAAAACTACCACTTTCTCATGTGCTGCGAGCTCTGCCTGCTGCTCTTTCTCCATCTGCACTCTCACCTCTTATCGGGACCTCCTGTTGTGATGGCTTTTCCCTTGAACCCTCTCCCTTCCCAGTGACAGCACTTTCCTTTCAAGGCCTCCATCCTTGGCTCCTCCAGCATTGCCTTGAGGCTGCTTCTGAGGACATTGCTAGGTTTTATTTATTTATTTATTTATTTATTGGTACTGGGGATTGAACTCGGGACCTTGCGCTTGCAAGGCAGGCACTGGAACCACTGAGCTAAATCCCCAGACCTTCTGATACTATTTTTTTGTTTTTTGTTTGCTTTTGGATATTATTATTATTATTATTATTATTTTTTTTTTTTTTTGGTACTAGGGATCGAACTTGGGTCCTTGTGCTTGTGCAGCAGGCGGTGAAATCACTGAGCTAAATCCCCGGCCCTGTTTTTGGATATTATTTTAAAACTGAATGTCAAGGTATCAGAAAATCTCCATGTGCTTGTCTTTGTCTTACCACATGAAGACTGTTTTCAAAATTAGTTTATCAAGCTGAGGCCTGTTGTGCACACCTATAATCAAGAGGCAACTGAGTAAAACTCTGTCTGAAAAAACCCAAGAAGTAAATAAATACATAAACTAAATTTGTCAGGATGTTAGAAATTGGCTGATACTCCTAGATTTGGTGAGTTTCGGGGGTCATCCGCACTCCATGTGGGGCACACAGTGTGCCGTCTGTCTCCCTGTCACTGTGGTGTGAGAAATCACACTCACCTGGTATTTCTTATGGCTGCTTCTGACTTAGGGTCCCACCCTCTCTGAGGTTGTGGGTGTCATCATGGTACGTATATGTGTTGATCCAGATGGAGTAGGCAAGGGAGAGCTTGAAAAGTGGGCTTTGTGTATCTAGATTTAATTACCAGAAGACAGGTTCCATGTGGGCATCATACACAGGAGGAAGCCGTTAGTGTTTTTTCCTAACCAAGTTGTTTTTTTATTATTATTATTATTATTATTATTATTATTATTATTATAGACATCTTACTATGTAGTTCAGGCTGGCTTTGAACTCATGTAACCCAGGCTGGCCTCACACTCATGGCAATGCTCTTCCCTCCTGAGTGCTGGGATACCCTGCTCGTAGTAGGTTTTTGAACTTTCTTGTTTTTCTTCTTTTTGTGGAGCAGCATGGGAGAATATGTAGTCTGTACTTTTAGACAGTACAAGGATTATCTCTGGGCTCTCTCCATTTATTCAGTAGGCACCAAGCCTGTTGCTCTGGGACTAAGAATTGTAGTGGTTCAGGTAGAAGGTAGATACTTCCTTTTTGCCTGGTGAGACCCGAGAGCTTCCTGAGTGGCACCATCTTCCAACTTCTGGAAGAAGCTTGGCTGCTGCAGACCCCAGTCTTGGGACAGAGCTTTTCACATCCCCACTCTGTTGTCCCACAGAAGGTGCCCAGTGCCTGGGCTCGGGAGAGGGCATGTTCCGGAGACCATCAGAAGGACAGTCCCTCATCAGCTACCTCTCGGAGCAGGACTTCGGCAGCTGTGCAGATCTGGAAAAGGTGAGGAAGTGGAGGGACCCACAGAGAGTTTGTTCACTGAGACCTGGCCTGCAGGTCTTGGTGCCAGCTGTTCCAGTGAGGATTCAGGGACACAGCCATGACAAAGGTATAGACTGCAGTAAGGTGAGCTCAGCAACTCCTGTTTCTGGGGAACTTCAGGGAGCATGTGCTCTTCATTGGGTCCAGAATACTAGCCATTTAATTGGACACAGTGGCAGATGCCTATAATCCCAGCTACTCAGTACGCTGAGGCAGGAGAATCACAAGTTTGGTCCCAGCCTAGACCATTTAATGAAGCCTCATCTTAAGATTAAAAAAATTTTCTTTTCTTTTTGGTGCTGGGGATCAAACTTGGGACCTTGTGCCTGTGAGGCAGGCCCTGGAATCACTGAGCTAAATCCCCAGACCCCCCAAATTTTTTTCTTAAAGGCAGGGGATATTATCCAGTCATAGAGTGCTTCCCTAACACAAGGAGGCCATGAGTTCTATCTCTAGTACTACAAACAACACAACATAACACAACACAACCCAAAACAAAACACTCTGAAAATATTAGTGATTTTATCTTAGAAGCTACCCTGGGCAGAAAAACATTGAATTTTAGCTACATAATTATTATTCCTTTGATCCTGGAACCTTAGGTAAATACTGTTTCTAAAATCAACCTATGTATTTTATTCTAAGGCTCATACATGTAATAATATCTGTGCAATATTTTATGGCCTACAAAAAAATCTTCTTGCTTTGAGACATTACATTTACCTTACCACTATGTGCCCAGGTATATGACTTTGGGAAAGAGCCTGCTTGAAATTCCTGGGCACTCTTCTTTTTTTTTCTTTACTAGATAAAGACTTATTAATCTTTTTTTCAACCTTTTCCCCAAGCTTCTCCAGCTTAATTAGAGGCAAAGAGGAAATTATGTATAAGCAGAAACTGAGAAGAGCCAGGCCTGGTGGCGCATGCCTGTAAACCCAGGACTTGGGAGGCTGAGGGAGGAGGATCCCCATAAGTATGAGGCCAGCCTACTTTACATAGCCTGAACTACAAAAAAAAAGAAAAACCCGCCACAAATGTAGCTCAGCAGCACAGTGCCTGTCTGGCAAGTGTGAGGTCCTCAGTTTAAGCCCCAGCACCAAAAAAAAAGCCATGTATTTAACAAAAAACAAAACCAAAACCCCAAACAATAAAAAAGACTACAAAGAGCTACCGTGTCCTAGGGGCTTGGGTTTAAAAATATTAGATGTTATCAGGTCCATAAACAAAATATTTTTAGCAGCAGTCATAAGATCCAAAAAGCAGCTCCCGGTGATTTCAAGCTTTATCTTCTTCAGAAGTTGACTCAATTCCTCTTGCCTCGTACTTAAAACCCTCATCAGAATGCGCCACAAGCTCTGGAGCTCCTCCTCTTCTGTGGTAGCAGGGGTACCTTACGGCTGCAGCCATCTGGGGACTCTGGGTATCTGTAAAGCGCTCGGGCTGTGTACCACTCTGGCCTCAGGTGTGGCTGCATTGCTGGCAGCTGTGTGTCTCAGTGTGACCTTCATGGTGAAGGAGTTGCTGCTGGAGAGGCCTGAGCTTCAAGGTGGTCCTGGAGTGCTGTGCCTTGGTTTGTAAACATATTTGCAGGGCACCAGGGCTGGTGTGCAGGGGCTCCAGGCTGACCCGCAGAGGGTCTCTTCTCATTTTTTGTAGAAAGTGGAGGAAGAAGGAACAGGCATGGGCAGGTAGAGATCAAGGAGCATCCAAGATGAAACAGGTTTCTGGCTGCCAGCTTTCCTAGTAGGAGAGCTTGTTTTCTCTGGATGTTTCTGGCAAGAGCAAGGCACAGCTGGAAGCTCTGACCTCCCAGTGTGCTCAGCAGCGAGGCCTTCAGTCCCTTGAGGCCCCACCAAGTGACTTCTTTGGTGCCCTGCTGCCCAGGAGAACGCCCACTTCAGCATCTCAGAGTCTCTGATTGCGGCCATTGAGCTGATGAAGTGCAACATGATGAACCAGTGCTTGGAGGAGGAGGTGGAGGAGGAGGACAGTGATCGAGAGATCCAGGAGTTGAAGCAGAAAATCCGCCTCCGGCGCCGGCAGATCCGTACCAAGAACCTGCTCCCTGAGTACCAGGAGACAGAGCACGGGAGTGAGTGGGGCTGGGGGGTCCCTTGTGCTGTTCCTCAACATTTCGGAACAGCTCAGCATCTTGGGGATTCTGGTTTCTGGATTTCTTTTATTTTTATTTGTTTTTTGAGACAGGGTCTTGCTAGTTAGTTCAGATTGGCCTTGAACTCCTATGTAGCTCAGCCTGACCTTGAACTCACTGTAATCCTCCTGCCTCAGCCTCCAGAGTGCTGTATTCACAGGCGTGCACCACTGTTCCTGACTTCTGGTCTTCCTTTAGAATGTTACCCTAATCCAGGGATTCCTTTGCTCTCAGAAAGATATTACTATTCTGTTCTTTTTTTAACCAGACTAAGAATAGTCACCCTGGAGTTCATCTATTTCTTACATCAGAAATAGCTTCCTTGTGAAATAGGCTTCCAACATGAAAAGAACTAAGACTATTTCCAGATTTGTTTCCTAAGTAGTAGGACCTTGTATTACATGAAGCTTTCTAAGGGATCTGGTTGTGATGGTGCAAGCACTCAGGAGGGAGGCTAAGGCAGGAGAATCACTGAGAGATCAGGGCCAGCCTGGGGTGCATAGTAAAACCCTGTTACAAAACCAGCCTTTTTAGGGGTAAGTGTTGGGGGAAAGAGCAGGAGACCTCTTTCTATCCTACTTATTGTTACTATTTTTTAATACAACAGGCTTTCGGGTCACCTCCAGCAGCTCCCAGTTCAGCTCTCGGGATTCCACACAGTTCTCTGACTCTGGCTCCACTGATGAGGTTGATGAGCTTGAAATCCAAGGTAAGAAGCGACCTTTTGTTCCAAAGAAACTTTTCATTACTTGTTTTTTTTCCATCTGGAATCATAGGCTATGAGACTCCAGAGTGGAAAATCTTCTTTATGGTCCCTTAGGAAATGTTGGTTACTATAAAGGGCATCTTCTCTTGCTAAAAACAAAACTCCTTTAAAATTTAAATTCAAGGGCAGCCTTGTAACACACCTCTGTCTCAAAAAACAAAACAAATAAGAAATAAAATGAGATAAATAAAGTCTAAGCTGAAGAGAACCCCAAAAGGAAATGCTGTGGTGGAGTGGGCTGGCTGTCTCCCTGTGCTCCTTCCTCACTTCATTTTATTCCTCACTTCCTCTTCCTCTTGGATTCTCACTCCAATTCCTCCTGCTTTGTCCAGCTGACCAACACCGCTTGAAATTAGAATCCAGGTCTCCATGCTCCATGACACAAAAGGAATTACTTCAAAGTGTTCAGAAGGAGCGTTACTGTAATCCTAAGAGAAAACAACAAGAAGAATCAAAAGAAAACTAAAAATCTAGCTTACAAAGTAGGGCTTTTGTGTCTGTCCCAGCAGCATGAACCTGCTCCATGGAATCCCTGACTCTTGGAAGTGGCAGCATGGAGGCAAGGAGGGGCTCCTGTTGGGAAAGGCAGTTGTTCTCATTCAGGTTACTGTTCTGTCCCTGCAAGTCATAGATTTCTCTAACTTCCCACCAGTGAGACAAACAGCAACCAAAGCTCTTCCCCAGGGGTGATTTCTTTAATGAGCTGAATTCTATCTGTAATACTCCCCCATGACATTATAATGCCATGAGGAAAAGCTCTCCTGTTGCATGTTAGAGAACCCATGCATCTGCAAGACCTGTAGGTGAAGTAGCCAGGTTGTTTGCCCATTCAGAAATTCAGATTTTTACACGTATTTTCCAACTTCTGTGGTCTCCTTAATGTAGTTGATTTCTATGCATGACAAGGTGGTCACTTAACAGTCCTTTTTTTCTTCCTGTGTGGCTTTCCAGGAACAGTTTTTGAGTTCTCTAACACCACACAGGTAAACTCCAATTGGTTCTGACACTGACTACCTAGAATGGGCACAGGTCCATGAGAGAGGGGCTCAGTTTCCCTAGATCACTCCTGTGTCAGATACCAGATACCAGTGCGTCCCCGCACTTCTGTCCTACTGACTGCAAATGCACACGTTCTCAGGAGCCTTTCCAGTCTGAGACTTCTCTGGAATGACCATCAGAATTTAGGAAAGGGCTGTATTTAAGATTATAGTTTAAACTGGGTGTGGTGATGCATGCCTATAATCCCAGCACTCAGGAAGCTGAGATAGGAGGATCACAGTAAATCTACAGCCTGGACTACACAGTGAGTTCAAGGCTAACGTGAACTACATAGTGAGACCCTGTCTCAAAAAAAAAAAAAGATTCTAGTTTATTATAAAGCATACAAATAAATAGCCACGTGAAGAGGGATGTAGGGAGGACAGGGTTCTGCAGAGTCCCCAGCCTAGGGACCTATGTGTCTCCTTGGAGTTTAGGGGTGCTGCCTCCTAGTCCATCCATGTGGTTGGTTACCACCGTGCTCCCCTCACCTGGTTGCTGCATTGTTTTTCATTGCAGTTTTATTATATAGGCTGAGTGATTCAGTCATCAGCCTTTGGTAACCAAACTTTGGTAATTGCCCCAGGAGGGCAGGGGGAGTGGGGGTTCCAGCCTGATACTCCTGTAGTTGATTCTTCTGGGGCAACCCCATCTGAAGCTATCCAGGGGACTGCAGAGTCATTGCATGAGCCACCCTCAGGTGTGGTCAGAGGGTCTCCTTGTGAATAAGAAAAGATTGCTACCATTCAGAAAAATCCAAGGGTTTGGGGAGCTCTGGGGAGGAACTGGAGACAGACCAAATATATATATTTGAATGTACCATGCACAGCCTGTGATTGACTTGCTGTCCAGATGAGAAGAAAATCAGAGCATTCCACCCTCTCCTTCAGGATGAGCAGCGGAATCCCATGGGGGTACAATTAAGACAGATTTGGGACGTGATGCCGAACTGGGTGTAGTGCAGTCCATCCAGTTACTCAGTGTCCCTGAAGCAAAGCAGGAGCCAAGGGAAACTTCATTCTGGAAGGAGCCTGCCTAGAGGGAGACCCAAGCGCATTCCTAGTGGAAACTTGCTACAGCCCTGAGGCCCAGGGAGACTTGGAATCAGCTAATCTCCTTATCAGTTCAGAGCAGAAACCCTGAAAGGAAGGCCTCTGGGCTGTGTAATTCTTTGGTGGGAGGAGCTGTCGTGTGTGGCTGGCTCCCCCTAAATGCCAGCAGGAACCCTCCCTACCAACAGTCAAAAATGCCCCCAGATTTTGTGACCATCGCCCCTTGGTGGAGCCACTGTCTTTGGACGTGCCTGAGGCCTGGGTTTGGGGGAGTTAGCAGTAACTGTCTTCCAAGCTCTAGTGAGCCTACCTGTGAACGTAAGTTCCTAAAAACATTTCATCTTTAGGAGCAAGTCCTGGTCTAAGGAACATGTGTAGAATGTCACTGTCATCACTTTCCTGCCCTTTTAATAATCGTTGTCACACAGATGGTAGCGAAGGCTCTGGCCTGACTCATCAAAGAATGGATTCTCAGTGTCACTGGCCTTCAGGTTCTCAGGTAGCCCTGCTGGAGTGTAGATGTGCTTGTGTGTGCACAACTATGAGTGTGCGTGCCCGCTTCTGTACACACTTGACCCCGTGTTACCCATCGAGGTGAGTGAGAGTATGTGGCTGGAGGAATAGTTGGAAAAAGCCAGACTTCCGCCAGAAGAGGATGGCAGGAGTAATCAATGTTTTCCCTTGTTGCACTCCAGCAACCCTCCTCACTGAGCGTGTCCCTGTCCTGCCCTGCACTGATAATTGTAGATTCAGAAGCCCTGTGACTGATGGAGGTGGTGGGCAATTTAGAAAGGAATGGAGAAAGAATGGTAGTTAAAAGCCGTCGCTAAGCTATTGCCACAGATTCAGACAGCAAAACCTAGACAGAATATTAGGAAGTTTAGTGTTTCTTTCAAGTTTTGAATTTGCAGAGCCAACTTTGAGAATGCTATCTCTTCTAGGTATTTCATTATACAATTAGGAGCTCCTGCTGTAAAGGTTTGGACTTAGAAATCACTTTGTGATTCAAATAAGGCTTTCTGTAGGGCATTAACTGAAAGAAATTAATAGTTTTTTACTAAAAATAGTTTTGTTTTGTTTTTTGGGGGGTACTGGAGATTGAACTCACGTCCTTGCGGTTGCGAGGCAGGTGGCGGAACCACTGAGCTAAATCCCTGGCCCTACTAAAAATAGTTTTGAAATATAAACACAAAATATCCAGAACTGTTTCAAAATAAAATTAAATGGGCTGGGGATGTGTTTCAGTGGTAAAGATTTTGCCTAGCATGCTTAAGACCCTCAGGTTGATCCTCAGGTTGATCCCGAGTACCACAAAAAAAGCAAAATAGATTTGAGCTGGGTGTGGTGGCACATGCCTGCAATTCTAGCACTCAGGAGGCTGAGGCAGGATCACCTCGAGTTCAAGGCCAGCCAGCCTGGGCTACTTAGCGATTTCAGGACCAGCCTGAACCACATAGAAAGATCTGGTCTCAAAAAAGAAAAAACAAGTTTTCAGTGAGGCAAAATTCACCTGCTTCAAATATACGATTCAATGATTTTTAATAAAATTGCCAAGTTATGGAACCATTATTATAATACAGTTTTTGAACATTTTTATCATCTCCAAGTCTCCTCACTAAATTTCTGCCCATTACAACTAATACCTGTTTCTACCCTACCCACAGGCAATCACTAGTCTACTTCTGTCTTTGTGGATTTACCCTTTCTGGACATTTCATATAAATGGAATCATATAGTGTGTGATGTGTTATCTTTTGTGTCTGGTTTATTTCACTTATGTTTTTGTCTGCTGCTAATGTCTGCAAATTGGACTGATCCCATTTGTAAAACCCCAATCCCAGATAGTCTTTTCACCTTATTTGGGTTTAGAATTTGTTGCTCTTATTTTTCTCCCCTCTTCATCCTCTCCTTTTTTTCTTTTTCTTTTTTTGGTGCCAGAGATCAAACTTCGGACCTTGCACTTGCAAGGCAGGTGGTGAAACCACTGAGCTAAATCCCCTTCCCTCATCCTCTTCTATTACAGCTTCATCAGTTCTTTACTTCCTTTGCAGATTCTTTTAGAGTTTCATCCTGCATATATGAACCTGTCATGGTCTGGTCAGGAGACAGAGGTCACAGTGATTCCAACAGGGAAAGTTGAATATTGAGAATGTTAATGGGGAATTGAAGTAATGGAGTAAAGAGAGCCCTAGAGATGCAGGAAGGGCAAGCATAGGTGACAGCCGGGAAGGGACATATATAAGCGAGGGTGGTGGGCCCAGGTCTGAGAACAGCTCTCCGGAGCTGCAGAGGTGCCCTGAGGTGGTGCCAGGCGATGCTGTCCCCAGGGAGGTGGCCGTGCCAACAGCCTTCACTGGAAACCGTTCTTGGGGGTGTGGTGCGATGCTCGGCTTTGAAACACGAGTGGCACTGGGAAGAGCAGCCCGAGGGTGGGGGTGGGGTGGGGAGTGTGCTCTACCTGGAAAGCTGTCTGAGAGGTCCTGTCTGTGGCACTCTCTTTTGCAAAGCTGTCCAGGGCAGCTTCCAGGGGTCAGTTGTGTGCCCCTCAGCAGGCAGCCGGGACAGAGCACACTGGACCCACGGGGAACGCCTTCCTCCTCAGCGTCTCCAACCCCACTGAACACTGCTGGCTGGTGGAGGAGGAATATCTGCAGAAATGGCTCCAGCATTGCAGAGAGAGCAGCAGAAAGATGAGGCGGCCTGGAGCAAAAGGCAGTCCACTGAAAGCTGCCATAATATATAAAAAGGAACATTCATGAGTTGTAATTTCCCACAAATTTTAAAATTATATCCAAATTCAAGAAGGTAGTCAGTTGCCTCTCCCACCCTTTTGATCATTTTGTTTTCTTTCTTTAAAGAAACTTGCAGATTTTCCTAAGAAATTTGTAGACTTTGCAAAGAACTGGTTTTTGCTCCTATCTTTATTTTATTTATTTATTTTTTTTGGTACCGGGGATCAAACTAGGGAGCTTGCACTTGCAAGGCAGGCATTGGAAACACTGAGCTAAATCCCTGGCCCATAAAGAACTGGTTTTAACCAGTATCTGGACACACAGCGTATTCTCATGACATGTCATTGTTTTTGTTGTTTGTTTTTATATTTTCCCAGATTTTTTCAGTCTGTAATAATAGCTTTATTCTATCTAAAGCATCTCAAGCACTTGAAGTCAGTTTTCTTGGAGGAAAATTACTTGTTTTTGTACAAGAAATCCATAGCAAATTTTATAATTAGGTTAAATTTTACTTGGAAGATGAGTTTCCCTGAATTTTTTTTCAAGTGCTGTTGACCCAAGTGACTCCCTCTTTCCTTAATTAGCTGTTTTAGAACCTTGTCTACATTGTTTTTTTTGTGTGTATGTGTGTTTTTTGAGACAGAGTCTGGCTATATAATTCAGTCCAGCCTTGGACTATGGAACCCAGGCTGGCCTCAAACTGCAGGTGATCCTCCTGCCTCAGCCTTCTGAGTTTTGGGATTATAGGCATGCACCACCACACCTGGCAGCCCTGGTCTGCTTTTACCTATACCCTCAACTAGTTGTCCACCTGGGTCAGCCTGGTCCTCTGTTTGAACTGACCAGAGTTATCAGGATGCAGCACTGCACCAGGAGGGCTGAGGGGGGCACCTGATCAGGACAGGTGTTTAGTCCCCAGGTACTGTTGGGATAAGGTTCTTACCCCACAGTGCGGTTCTCCACAGTCTTGGAATATTCCTGATTAGCTAAGAAATCCTGCCATGTACCTCTGGTAAGAAAGAGGAAGAAACATGGTTTAAAAAAAAAAAATTTTTTTTGAAACAGGGTCTCACTGTGTAGTCCAGGCTGGCCTTGAACTCACTATGTAGCCTAGGCTGGCCTTGAACTCGCTGTGATCCTCCTACCTCAGCCCCCTGTGCACCACCACACCTGGCTAAACATGATAAAATCTGACTTGATTATATGCTCTAAAGGGAAAGAATGATTTGTTTCTCAAAGAAAAAAAAAAGACTTCCTCTCTAGGAGAATGAAAAAATCGCTAAATGTTGTCATAGTTTGATTAAATACAGGAACACATTCTGAGAAATGTGTCATTAGATGATTTTGTGCAAATGTCATACTTACACAAATTAAGATGGCTACCCTGGTCCTGGAGCAGTATCATTGGATGGGACCACTGTTATATACAGAAACATCTTTGTGTGGCACATGATTGTAGCTTTTTTTTGTTTGTTTTTGGTACCAGGGATCAAACTCAGGACTTTGCACTTGCGAGGCAGGTGGCCACACCACTGAGCTAAATCCCTGGCCGGCCCGATTGTAGCTTTTATGGAGACAGTGGTTTCCTTAGCAACTGTGACTTCCCAGCCCCTCCCCTCATGGTGTGTAGTGTCTTTAATAGACTGGTTCCAAAGTAACAAAATTGGTTAGCACTTTATTCAAGATTATCTAAGATTTTCTTTCATTTTTCCTTTTCTAGTATTCCCAAACAAGATGAAATTTCTAAAAACTTTTAATTGCTTTTAGTCAACTAATAATTCATTTAGGAAATATTTGCTGAAAATCTATTATGTAAAAAGCACTTTGAGCCAGGTGTGATGGTGCATGACTGTAATCCCAGCACTTGGGAGACTGAGGCAGGAGTATTGCCATGAGTCCGAGTTCAGCCTGAGCTACATAGTGAGTTTGAGGCCAGCCTGAACTACTCATAAAGACCCTGTCTCAGAAAAAAAGAAAAAATCCTAGGTTCAGACCCCAGCACTGGCAAGAAAAAGAAGCCAGATAGAGTTCTGGCCTCTGTGACCATTTAAGAAAGGTTGAAATTCAGAGACCACAAGAGATTTGAGTCATCCTCTTTTGTGTTTCTGCTTGCTAGGGGTTGTGTCCCTGTGTGCCTGAAGATGTCCACTCTCAGTCACTGTTTTACACCAACTCTCCAGTTTGAGTTCCCACCTGGACTTGTAACCACTTGGGCCTTCCCAGTGCTCTGTGTACTGTCACTAGCTCAGCCTGCTTGTGACTTCAGTAGAGCCAAATGAGAAGTTGTGTTTAGAGCTTCTCCTGCCTCCGACCCTGCACAGAATGGAGTGGTGAGCTGCCACCTTGAGTGCTCAGCTGGCAGCACTGGTTTTTTTTTTTTGGTACCGGCAATCGAACTTGGGATCTTGTGCTTGTGAGGCAGCGGAACCACTGAGCTAAATCCCTGGCCCTGGCAGCACTTTTGATAGTTCTGTTATTCTCCCCCTCCTCACGCTCCATTTCCTGCTTCCCTTCTCTCCCATTTCCACTTAGATGCCGACATCCGACGGAGCACAACCTCAAACAGCAAACCCTTCGTTTCCTCCCAATCCTTGTGAGTAGTTTATTTATTTTTTAGTATTCTTGGGGGTAGGTGGAGAAATAAACCCAGTTCTTGGCATATGGGTGAAGCTATCTCGATTCAAGAGGAGGCAGGGTCAAGTGACGGGAAGAAGGAATGAAGAGAAGCCCTTTAGTCTCAGTGGGGTGGACTGTCATAGACACCAGGGTCACAGCATGTATTATTCCTCCTCTGATGATGCCCGTCATAACTGGAGATCCCAAAAGATCAAAGCTCAAGGGAGAGAGTGGTGATTGTGACTTTTGATCATGAAATCAAATTGAACACATGCTATGGCACAGACCCAACTAGAGGAGGAAATATTCCCCATTTGGGTGCCCCTTTATAACCCGCAAAGCAGTTTTACTCACTTTTATTTTGGAAGACGTCCAGAGAAAGGCAGTTATGGAGCCCTTACTGCAATGGTAGTGAGACTTGAACCCGAGTTCTAGGACTCAAAGACCAGTGTCTTTGCACTATGTACATATCTGAGGAAGAGGAAGGAAGCTGGACAGCTCCCTCTAACGTTCTCAGGTCCTGAGGGAGCCTCTGGTTGTCCTGTCTTTCCCCTGTGCTAAGCTTCCCTCGCTTCTTGCTTCCCCAGCTCCCACTGCTTCCTGCACTCCACGTCGGCCGAGGCAGTGGCCATGGGGCTTCTGAAGCAGTTTGAGGGAATGCAGCTTCCAGCGGCCTCGGAGCTGGAGTGGCTGGTCCCAGAGCATGATGCCCCTCAGAAGGTAGGCTCAGGGCCCAGCTGTTCTTCGCTCTCCTGTTTCTTTCCTTGTGCACAAAAGCCATTTGTTACAAATGTATTGGACGAATGAATGAATTAATGAATGGATGCCTGTCTAGGTTTTTCCTAGAAATCATCAAAACAGGATATTATGGACTGTTCACTGTCCTTATGCCACATGACTGCTCACAGAGCTCGATCTGGAGCTCCTGTTTTGAGCCAACTTTGAGACACTGCAAAAGTCTTTGAAGGCCTGAGACCCCCCTGCCACACCAGGGTTCCTGGGGTGAGAGCCACCACACCAGGATGCTGTTGCTGTTCACCTCCTGGAGTCTGCAGCCCTCACTTTTAGTACCTGGCGCCTTCTACCTTGTATTGAGGCCAGCATTCCCTGAAGTCCTTGGCCTTCGGTGTTCCTGAAATGTTTCTGTCATGGCCACAAGGGCCAAGCTTGTGCTCCCAGTCCATCATTACCAGCTTCCCGTGTTCTCTCCACAGCTCCTGCCCATCCCCAACTCCCTGCCCATCTCGCCAGATGATGGGCAGCACGCAGACATCTACAAGCTTCGGATCCGTGTGCGTGGCAACCTGGAGTGGGCCCCACCCCGGCCTCAGATCATTTTTAATGTTCATCCAGCCCCAACGTGAGTACGCACGCTGTGCTCTTCAGGAGCCAGGAACATCTAGGGATGTCAGGACCAGCACCCTCCCCTCCGGTCTCTGCTTCCACCCGCTTCCTGCAATAACTCTTAATCTTTCTGATCCTGCCCAGAGCTAACTTGTTACACTCCTCACTGGCATTCCCAGCCTGTTGCCCCTCTCCCGTCAGTGTGTGAGCTTACTGGTTTTTCATTTCTGTAAGATGGTTGGATGCCTTTCTGCCCCCTTGCTCTCTTGCCTTTCTGTTGTACAGAAATTTGGCTCATAGCTGGGAAGAGCCATTGCCAAGATCTAAACCCTGACCTTCCAGCCCTCAGCTCTGTCCAAAGGTTCAGGTGAATTCTCTCTTCCCCGAGTCATACTCTCCTCCTTTGTATCAAGGCCTCCTACAGCCACCTCCGAACACCCCTCTTTGCCTTTCCCTAGGAGGAAGATCGCTGTGGCCAAGCAGAATTACCGCTGTGCAGGATGTGGCATCCGGACTGACCCTGGTGAGGCCTCCTGGCACCATGCTGCCCAAGGGCTGTGCCTGCTCCCACATCGCAGAGAAAGGGGCCTGTCAGGAGTAGTAAGAGGGGGTGACAGGGAAGAACTGGAGAGAAGGAAACAGGGGCCTGGCGGGGAGGAGGACTAGCCAGAGCGGTGACCATCAGAGGGGAACTGTCGCTGGAGAAAGTAGGGCGGTTGGAGGGTGTGTCTCGCCGACTCTGGCAGCTTTGTTTCCTGTGTGGTGTCCAGAATGTAGGAGTGGGTTTCTGCTGGCACCAGGGAGCTTAGACAGGCGGCTGGTGGCCACAGCGTGTCCCCTCCCACTGTTTGAGGAGCAGCAGAACTGCCTCATGCATATACAGACCGGCAAGTCACATCTCCACCCCCCCACCCCCCCACCCCCCGTTCTTCCAGATTATATCAAGCGGCTACGGTACTGTGAGTACCTAGGCAAGTACTTCTGTCAGTGCTGCCACGAGAATGCCCAGATGGTCATTCCTGCCCGGGTCCTGCGTAAGTGGGACTTCAGCAAATACTATGTCAGCAATTTCTCCAAGGACCTGCTCCTCAAGATCTGGAACGACCCCCTCTTCAACGTGCAGGACATCAACAGCGCCCTCTACAGGAAGGTCAAGCTGCTCAACCAAGTGCGGGTAAGGCCTGCCCAAGGCCTTACCTGCCCTCTATGGTCATTCAGGGCTTCGAGCTGTAGCATCTCATCATCCTTCTCTGTTTACCTGACTTAATTCTTCATTTCTTTGTGTGATTCTGGGGATGGAATCCAGGGCTTCACACATGCTGGCCAAGCCCTTCACCACCAAGCTACAACCCCAGCCTTCTGTGCTCTTCTGACATCCTCCCATTTCCTAGATACCTGTCTCTTCAGAGCCCCAAACTTACAACAGCAGGTCTGAAGCTATAGATAGCATTTGACAGCAAAAACAGAATTTCTCCATTAACTGAAAGACTGAGTAGAGAGTAGGGTGGGAAGCCTGCACTGACTGGCCTTTCTACCACACAGTTCTCTCCCTCCCCCACCCCAATGTCTTCTCCCCAGCTGCTTCGGGTCCAGCTGTACCACATGAAGAACATGTTCAAGACGTGCCGACTGGCCAAGGAGTAAGTCGGGGCCGAGTCCTCCAGCCGAGTTATGTCCCCACAGGTCACGTCTCAGCAGGTGGCTCTGAAGTTATTAGGAGAGAGAAGGAGAGTAGGGGATTTTGTAGAAATGTCCAGAAGTGGTAAATGAGAAGCCACAGCAGTAACTCTGTTGCTGCCCTCTGTGGAGGGGAAATCTGTGGTTATTCTGTTCAGGGCGGGCACCACTTTTTGTAAGCTGGCGTTGGTTACTCTGTACAAGGTTATAAATGAAGTCACTTTGGCCATCCAGACACCTGTTGCTGTGGGAAGGCTGGTGTGGCTGGAATATTTGGGCCATAGATGTCACCCACCCTCATAGCTTCTCTCTCTTGTGGCTGAATAGGGCTTTTTCTACTACAGTGTACTGTACAAAACATTCATTCCCTTCCCCGCCTGCTGCCCCTCACCTACAGGCTTCTGGACTCCTTTGACACAGTCCCAGGCCACCTGACAGAGGATCTCCACCTGTACTCTCTGAATGACCTGACCGCCACCAAGAAGGGGGAGCTGGGGCCAAGGCTTGCCGAGCTCACCCAGGCAGGGGCTGCCCACGTGGAGCGGTGCATGGTGAGGCCCTCTCAGACTCTCAGAGCAGCCCTCGCTTAGGTCTGGGGAGTGGGGTGGACCTGGGTTCTTGCCATTCTGCTCAGGAAGCTTAAAGGGCTGGTCAGCTCTGCGTGAAACTGGACAGGGGCGCTGTTCCCAAAATCTGTGAGCAGCTCAGTCATCTGCTCTCAAGAATTGGAGCAGGAATTGGGGCTGGCATCGCCCCACTGAAGAACTCTCCTGTATGGGAAGAGAACCCTAGATTGGAACCTTGGAGTTATTTTCAGTCAGTGTCACCAAAATAAATAATTTTCCCTGAGTTTAGCCTCAGTTTCCTTGTCTCTAAAATGAAAATATTGTCCACACTATTCTTTCCTCTCAGTATTTTTTAGCATTGGTGAAATAACTTCTGTGATAGCATTTTGTAAGCTTTTAAGTATTCTTCAAGTATAGTTATTATTGTTCATGGTAAATTAAACATGCCAGAAATTCAGAAACTCCATTTTTATTTTTATTTTTAACGTAGTTCAAGTTGGCCTTGAACTCACTATGTAGCCCAGGCTGGCCTCAAACTCGTGGCAGTCCTCCTGGCTCAGCCTCCAAAATGCAGAGCTTCTGTTTTAAATCTTTCCATCCCACCCTCTGAGCACTTTGTGTTTCCATTCGGGCAATCTCAGAATTGAAGCTCCTGAGGGGCACAGGTAGAAGCCTGTGTGCTGGGGAGTTGGGTGTGTTTTACTCTGGCCTGACTCGAGGCTGGTATTGATTTGTGGAAACAGCCTTGTTTTACATTTCGTCTTAATTAGTAGTGGTACCAAAATAAAACCCTTACTCAGACTGGCACATGGAGTCTGAAGCTCATGGTACCATCCCTTCCTCCTTCCCTTTCCTCACTGAGAGCTACTCTGGGCCAGGGCTTTCCAAGCTGGAGCCTCTCTTGTCCCCACTGGTGCTGCCCAGCCCTGACCCCCGTTTGGCCCACTGGAGTCCAGCTCATTCTTGTTCCTGGAGGCACTAGGACCCCTTGCCCGCCTCGAGGGTTTCTTGGCATTGCCCATCAGCTCCCTGGCGTCCCCTCTCAGGCTGGTTCCTCATTGGCTGCCTGTCTGATTCCTCCCAGCTCTGCCAAGCCAAGGGCTTCATCTGTGAGTTCTGTCAGAGGGAGGAAGACATCATCTTCCCTTTTGAGCTGCAGAAGTGCCGGATCTGTGAAGGTGGGTGCTGGTTCAAGGGCTGGGGCAAGCAAGACTAAAACATAGGTGAACTTATTTCTCCCGAGCCACCCCTGTTAGCCACAGTTTGGTTCATTCAGCAGCTCCTTGTGTCCCAGCACCAGAGCACCGGCTGTGGTGGTAAAGGGCTGTGGCAGCTGAGGTGACATAAGTTCCCTTCCCTCTTATCTCTTCCCTTGAGCAGAATGTAAAGCGTGCTACCATAAAGCCTGCTTCAAGTCTGGACACTGTCCCCGGTGCGAGCGGCTGCAGGCCCGGCGGGAACTGCTTGCCAGGCACAGCCTGGAGTCCTACTTGTCTGACTACGAGGAGGAACCCGAGGAGGTCCTGACCCTTGAAGCCACTGTCCTGGAGGGTACCTGAGGGAACCACGTTTTGTCCTCTGCCTTGGGGCTAGGGTCACACAAAATGCAGAACTGAGCCACCCTGTGAAGGACTTTTGCCCTCGGGGGTTTTTTTTCTAAATTATTATTTTTTTAATGACTTGTCTGATGTCCATGTGTGGCCAACCTCTGTTTGGTTGATGGGTCCAGTCTGCTGTTGTGATGGCTAATTTGTGGGCACCAGCAGCTTCCATCAGGACTCACAGTCCTGAGTGAAGCTTCTAGTGCCCCTGGCAGGGGAGTGGACAGTGAGGCCGAATTCTGTCAGCACAGCCTTCTCCGTAGGACCAGCTCTGGTCACAGTGCATCTCCAGTATCATCTCCACTTGTTTTTAATTCTGGAGCCTCTGAGCCGGGCCCCTCTCAGCCAGCTCTCTTCTCCTTTGCTGATATAATAGGGGGTGGGGTTTTCTCCATCCAGGTCCTGAAATACCAAGAAACACAGAGAACAGGACTCCCTGGGGGCATCTGTCAGGCTTCTGTAGGCACGTTGGGGGCCATAAGAGCAGTCATTACCGTCCTAGAGCTCAGAGAGACAACTGTGACATAGGCGGAGATGGTGGCTCAAGCTGATGTTCTTCATCTCCCCCAGTGGCCTCAAAGCAAAGAGCATGACTGAGGCTTAGGCCCTGGCTGAGTGTAGCCTGCACCACAGTGTAAGTGAGGCATGGTTGTGGCATAAGCATGTATCCAGGTAGAGGAGCTGCTGGCCTCTGCTTAGGTCTGGGTCTGGGGTACTGAGCTCCTGGGCGCAGGTGCGATCTTTCATGCTCAGGTGAGCCCCTGCCACCCTAATGTAAGGCCAGAAACCCTGTGAACCATCTTAATGTGAGTCTCTTACTGCTGTGTCCTGTCAAATGATCGTGGTGGTTCCCAGTGAAGACACAGCCCAGCTCAATTCTCTGTCCCTCGTGCCACCGAGCTGGGACTCTCCCTGGTGGCTGATCTCTTGGCTTAGTTTCTTTTCTCAGGGCTGGAGAAAACCCTTCCTGCTATTCATAGTATTAGAAAACTTGACAGTTTGTGGATGTGAATGTGAATGTTCCTGCGTTCTTGGGATATCAAGAGTCTTTACGCCAATTATGCGTTTACCTCTATCCAGCCTGGTGATATTCACTTGTTCAGTCATTTTCCTATGACTCATTTTAACATTCTTCCCATCCCCATGTTAGTGTGTATTTTGATGGGAAAAGCACTCAGATGGGCTCAGTGTGTTTGTGGTGTTTTTGAAGTTGCTGTAACCCCTAACTGCTATGTGAAACACTGGTCCAGGTTGCTTCTCCGAGGGTGGCTGCTCTGTGCCCTAACCTGGCAGTGTTGTTCTGGGACTGACTCTTTCCTGTACATTATGCTTGTCTTCCCATAGTTGGTCACTAGTAGAGTGGCTTGGGCACTGCCCGTGGAAGCCGAACAGGAAGTCGCCTATGGTTGGTGGAAGCTGATGTATGCCAGAGCCGAGGGCCACAGGGTCTCACGAGGAAGTGGAAGGGACATTTGGGTAACAGTTAAAGTGAAGCTCTGCCAGAGCAGGAGGAAAGGGAGGAGTCGGCTCACGTGCTGGTTCCTCTGCTCAGACTTGGGCTTGGGAGGCTCCGTGGGTGGTTCTCCCATTGTCAGTGAGGCTCTAAGAGCCAAGGCCCTTGAAGGGCTGACTAGAAGTTCTCTCATCCTTCAGGGAGCTTTGGGAACGACCCCACATTTCACTAAGGTTAGGCCCCCAATTCAGACTCAGGAGTTTGTAAAAGTGGTGAACTCTACTTCTGGTTTTGGTTTAAATTTCAAACCCAGCCACTTACGCCAAGTCACTACACTGGAGGAGCAATGACTCTCGTGTTCCTGCCTGCTTCCTGTCCCACAGGACCAGAGCCGAACTCTGCAGGCTCCCAAGCTCCGTGTTTGTCACTATCCGCCCCATCCCTTTAGACTGCATATGTTTGAGTGACCCTGACACTAAGCTGTTGTTGCAGGCCAAGCCCCCATGTGTTTATTTACTTGAGAGTCAGGGAGAGAGGGCTGAGCAAGGGATGTTTTTAAAGCACTTTGCAACTTAGCAGTACCTGAGAATCCCCGGCTGCCATGGGGAGACACTTTTGAGTGCACTGAGGAGAGCCCTTCTGCGTGACACGGGAGGGAAGGGTGGCCTCTTCTGTACAGAAAGGGAAAACAGACTTGCTTCCAAGGTGGAGACGAGAGTCAAGACATGGCAGAAGAGTGGAAGACAGACATTTCCACTCACGTGAGGCTGTTACTGACTCTCTGCCAGTGTTGTCGCCACTTGTGTTGACATCACATGAAGGAGCAAGTCTACATAGAGATGTTGCTATGCTGGTGGACATGCCACTCGAGTGTGAGCTGGATCTCCACTTGCTGCCATTCTTGCACAGCCTAACAGTCTACTGTCTTCTTTAATAAACTAAGTAAAAGAAATCTGCCTGTCGCGTGTCTGCCTTCATATTAGGAGACGGGCCAGAGTGTGACTTGAGAGGACCCTGTCTGAGAGTCCGGATGACCGTGCAGTGTGTCTCCCCATGACTCTTTAGATGTCTCTTTATCATCTCCAACCAGTGTGTCCAAAACCAGCATAAAGGTAGTTTCCAGACCTAACCATTAGTCACCCGGGTTTGAAAATTTCGTCTTTGACTTCCCCCTTCAAGTTAGATGTCCAGTCTGGCCAGTCAAGCTGATCTCCTTCCTACTGTCCACCATCACCTTCTGAGGTAGACAGCCGACTCTAAGGACAAACAAAGTTCCGGGAAGGCCAGGGACCTCGGCAGCTGGGATTTGCAGACTTGTTGAACCCAACACCAGCGAGCAGAGTGCTATCTGTTACCGTGGACAGATATGTGGTACCCAGCGATGGAGAAGGGGAGGCGTGGATTCCTACAGCACCCTGGGAAAGGTGGGCTCCACAGTGCTTCCTTTTTGCTTTGACTTTGGTTTAGACTGTGGGGAAAGAGATCGCTGCCCAGCACCTCCTGCTGGCTCATTGGCCCTGCTCCGTTACAGTCCTCTCTGTACCCCATACCTAGGGCTCCCAAGTGCTTTTTTTTTTTTTCGGTGCCAGGGTCCTTGTGCTTGCAAGGCAGGTGGCGGAACCACTGAGCTAAATCCCCGGCCCCTAAAGTGCTCTTTTTAAAGTGTTAGTGGTGGCAGCTCCCAGGGGCCCATGCTTTGCCCCTGCAAGCCCCATATTCTTTGGATCAAAGATGAGTGTGATTAGAAAGGAAGGAGAGAGTCAGGCATTTAGCTCAGTGGTTCTGGCGCCTGCCTCGCAAGTCCAAGGACCTGAGTTTGATCCCCAGTACCAAAAAAAAAAAAAAAAGGAAGGAGAGGATTGGCGTGGCCCTACTCCAGGAGATGTAGAATTCAGGGTGTGCTGAGTGCTCCCCTGAGCTGCACCTGGGACCAGCTTCAGGTGGAGGCACAAGAGCAGAGAGCTGTGCTATGCTGGGGCCAGCAAGGGAGAGCGGGTGGGCGCAATAGACCCTAGGTGGCAGGAAGCTTCTTAGGGTTTAGGTGGCTGGGGGAGCAGCCTCTCGGGAGATAAGCAGGCACCTCTTCCCAGCTGACACCCTCCCCAGAGTCACAGGGCTCTCATAGTAACTTCCCTCTACTGTGTCTCCACCAGCTTGAGTAGGCCTGACTGCTTCCCTCCAGGACAGCCTCAATAGACAATTGGGTGTGGGGGGTGCATGCCTCTTATCTCAGGACTCAGGAGCCTGAGGCAGGAGGAACGGTTTGAGTTCAAGGCCAGCCTGAGCTACGTAGCAAGACCCTGTCAAAAAACAAAAGTGTGTATGGGGGGGTGCTGAATAGAACATTTACACAAATTTGAGATGACTAAGAAGCTGACTGACGCTAGGACCTCTGATCTGATTGAATGCTCTGGCCTGTAATGTGGCCTGCAGTTGTTGATCACCATTCTGTATGAATAGGTGCCTCTCCCTGGAGACTCGGGAGAGCCTCTCAGGAAACATTCTGTTCTTCCCATGTCCCCTCCCTGCCTGGCAAGGGGAACAAGAATGGTCAGAAATATATTGTGTAGAGGGGACAGGATCTTTCTGACCTCCCTCTTAAGTACTTTCGCTCTCAGTTCTCTCAGTTCTTGTCTTGCCACCCAATCTCCATGTGGTTACTTTCCCAAATCTGTGAGCGTGTCCTGGTTTCCATCCCCTCTCCCCTCTGCTGTGTCCAGCCAGGCTGTTGTTAGCAGGGCAAGTCTGATCTGAGGGCCTGCACTTGCCTCATGACTGATCTGCCAGCCCTGAGCTGCACCAAGAGGTAGGTTGGTGTTTACATGCCTGAGAGTGCCCTCGGGATTTAGATCTTTGTGTCTGCAATTTAAACTGTGAAGAGAATGATAAAGCATGGAGCTGATCAAGTGTTCAGTGTTGTCCAAGCAGAGACAGGAAAACAGCTACAGTATAGAATTTTTACTTTGTGCTGAGATCCTTTGTTTATTGTTGCCAACTAGGTGTGGTTCACAGGAAGCCAAAGCTTGATTTTCAGCAAGTTCTCAACATTCAGCTTAGATTTTTAGATCTTCATAGGCCATGAGTAAAAAGATTGTTCAATAGGAAAAAAAATACCACTGGTTACAGTGACAGCCCAGCATCCATCCATCCATCCATCCACCCATCCATCCATCCACCCATCCACTCTTCCACCCATCCACTCATCCACCCATCCACCCATCCATCCATCCACCCACCCACCCATCCAACCATCCATCCACCCATCCATTCATCACTCACCCACTGACTCATCCATCCACCCTCCCATCTACCCACCCATCCTCTCATCCACCCATCCACCCATCCATCCATCCACCCACCCATCCACCCACTCATCCATCTATCCATCCATCCACCCATACACCCATACACCCATCCATCTGTCCACCCACTCATCCATCCATCTATCCATCCATCC